ATTCGACCTTTCATTTTCCATGTGAATGCTTTTGATATTAATTTTGGAGGTGTGTTGATGCAAGAGAGCCCAAGTGTGTCATGGCCCCTTTCCTTTCATATTTGAACCTTTATAGATTATCTTTTGAGTCGTTCCTTTTAGTTGCTTACAGAACTACTCCACAATAGATGAGTGTTTAGCAATAATTTAGGGTTTCAGGAAACTTCATATATATCTACATAGTTCTCAGATATTACTATATTTCTAAGTTAAGTTTTTTACTTTTATATATGTTTGTCAAAATATGATTATGTGCAAAACATAAACAAGTTTCCCTTTACTAATTCTATTATATCTTCTAAATATTCAAGAAGAGCACAATTTTGCTGTGAGTATAGAGGTAGAAGTATGATAAATTTCCAACTTTTCACAAAAGCTTATCTAGCACTAATTAATCATTTTAAAAATAATCACAAATCCTCTTAACTTATAATGAGAATAGAGGAAGATTAACCTTTAGAATGACGATAGGCAAAGTACATTCATTTACCAATGATGATATAGGAGAAGCATTTAATGGTATATGGCATTATTGTCTTAAAAATGGGTTAAAAGGTAGCTTTGTTTATTTAATTGATGGTTCTTTGAGGTTAAAGTAGAATATACATAAAATTTGAACCAACATGCTTTCAAGTTTATGCCCATAATCTGACCTTTATCTATCAAATATATTTGATATTTTAGCTTAAAATACCTCTATTTTAAATTATTTATGAAATATAAAATAGATAACTCCTTTTTTTCTAAATATTTAAATCTGAACACTAGAAGTGAATAGTGATGTCAATTACACATAAGGGGCATTTAATCTAGACATGCATGTTTCCACACACCATTGTTAGAGCCACATGGGTGTATAACCACATAGCTTAAATTGCATTCTTCTAGTTCAGGATTTTTGGTTTTCTTTGCTATTGAAAGCCATCTCAAAGGTTTGTTCTAGGAGCTCTCTTTCTTCAAAGAATTAGACTAAGGGCCTAACTTCTCTTCACATGGTATTAGAGTTTAATACAAAATTTTGACAAAAATAATTATAAACAATTAAAGAGAATGATTCAAAGAATTATTCATAAAAGGCCTATAAACAAAAGTAAACCTTTTTTTCTAATCTATTAAAGGTTTTGAAATACTTAAAATTAAATATTCTTTAAGTTTAAATAATATTAGGCTTGATGACCTCCTGGGAAGTCTAAAATTAAGATAGGATGGCAAAGTTTCCAAGGTGGGGACTCTTGGAATGAAAAAATGCCCTTCTTTATAACAACATTGATCAATATAATGAGTGGTAAAATGATGATATCAATCAATACAAATTGTAAGATCTAGATGCCAGGGCAATTAGAGCTTTAAGAGGAGGCTTTAGCCCAAGAGATTCTAGCCATGTTATAGATCAAGAGTTTAATGTTATCTTTTTTAACTTGTGCCATGAAATTTCATTTTCAATATATCAAGAAAATTCCCAACATCACCCAGTAGCAGATTTTTGCTGAACAAGAAGACCATTGTAGGCAAAGGCAATACTGCTGAGCAGGAAGGGATTGCCATTATGACTTGTGACAATCAACAAACACAAGAAGGGCACTCATTATTTTTAATCAACTTAGAAACAAGCATTCCAACAACACAGAGGAAAAACCATGCAAAACGTAGGCACCTAAGCAAGGATTGTCCTATGAAGAAGCAATGCTGAGAGGCAAAGTTGAAAGTTAGATGTGGATCTTCCTTCAGTGTGGCACCACATTTAAGAGTCAATGCCGAGACAATGGTAATGGTGAAGACTCTTCTGCTGCATCCAACAGCTTGTTATGGATGGCTCAAGGAGTAGACTTGGACACCACTAGCCTTCTTTGGCTAGATTTAGCAGTAACGAATCACTGAACTTTCAACCATGAGCTATTTTTGGAGTTGAGCAATGGGTAATAGCTTATTAACAGTTGAAGGTGTAGACACAATTCAAGTGTGACTTCTAACAGGCTTTGTGGTTCCAATCAATGACAGAGTAGCACAAGAGGCGAGTTGGCTTCATGACCTTGTAGCAAGTATGCAACTGAGGTAACATGGACCTACGGTAATTCTTTCAGATAATTCTTTGCTGTTGCTTGCTCTAGGAGTGTTTAGCTTCTCTTCACAACCATGACGTGATAGCTACAAAACTCAAATCAAGAGAAAGCTTCTCTTCTCTTCTTCTCTCTTTTGCAAAGCACACAAGCTCTTCTGGCCAAATCCTTTGACATTGCCAGGGAAACCATACATAGCAGATGATTTGACACCTGAGCCTCTTTATAAAGTTCCCAGATACTGCCACGAGCATAGGTCCCTTGCTCATGCGCACCACTAAGGCAAAGAGATCCACAAACAGGCTTCCAGGAGCAAGCTGCAGCTCTTGTACTGGTAGTAGCTTTGGAGCTCCGGAAGAGAATGCCAAACCGAGATGTGGTCTCCCGGGCGTCTGCGATCTCAGCTCGGCGATGGAGAGCGACCTTTGCTGCTTGTCCCGGATGCGGAGCCTTCGTCGCCGTATTGAAAGCTTGTACCGCTCTAGCGACGTTCGGCAAGGTGGTGAAATGACTTCAAAGAGCTCGAAGGTTGTCTCGGACACCATATTCCTGCTCGTCATTCTTGTCGAAGACCCAGTGACCGTCGGTCATACTTCTGGTGATATCCGAGCTTCGGCTATGAAGAACAGTGGCAGTATAGCTCGAGTTCTTCTCAGCTTTTCTCTCCATTCTCACGGCTGCCACTCGAACTTACTCTCGCTCAGAAGTTTGGCATCTCCTCCAGCTATCTTGGTGTCTCACAGCCGACTATATTCCCGAAAAGCACCAGGCTCGACGCATCAGCTCTCCCCTCCAGGCGCTCCAGGGACTGGAAAGCAAGGCGGGCAACTTCTACGTTGTTCCACTTGTGACAAGCACCCAGCACAGTCTTCCAAGTCACAGCGTTTGCTTCAAACGGCATCGTGGTCGCCACCTTCACTGCCTCGTCCAGACGATTTGCCCGTCCCAGCATGTCCACCACGCAATTGTAGTGACCAACGTCGGGAGCGATGCCAAATCTCGGCACCATCGTCTCGAGCAGGAGCTTCCCTTGGTCGGCCAGCCCGGCATGGCTGCAAGCCGTGAGAACCGACGCGAGAGTTATCCCATCCGGCTGGATGCGTTGCTGCTGCATTGCCTGGAAGAGATCAAACACCCTGCGGCTATCTCCCTGGCGGCTGTATCCCGAGATGAGAGCACTCCAAGTCACCAAGTTCCTCGTTGATCCTTCCATAGAGTCGAAGACGCCCTGTGCCTCAACCGGACTGCCACACTTCCCGTAGAAGTCTATCAGCGCGTTGGCCACAAACGTATCACTCTCGGCACGGTGTCTACGAACGTCGTCGTGGATCCTTCGACCAGCTTCGAGTGCTGCCAAGCTCCCGCAAGCCGTCAGTGCTGCTAGAAACGTCCGGCCGTCCGGAGCACAGCCTTGGTTCTCCATCCCCCGGTATAGCTCCACCGCGAGCTCGGGCTCACCGTTCTCGGCGTATCCCCGGATGAGAGCGTTCCAGGCCACCAAGTCGTGCTGTGGCATCCTGTCGAAGATCTGGCGAGCGTCCAGCATGCTTCCACAGCTCGAGTACGTATCAACCAGCGTGCTCACTACGTATCCGTGAGAGTCGAGGTTACTTTTGGAAGCTTGGCAGTGGATAACCATCCCGGTCTTCAGAGAGCCCAGCTTCACAAGTTTTCCATCGACCACCTTGCCTTGTTCCTTCGCTGCGATGCCTGTGCAGGCCATCAGTGCCGAGACGAAAGCCCGATCGTCTGGAGCACAGTTCCTCCGCTGCCTCATCTCTCGAAAAAGCTGGAGAGCAAGCTCGTTCTCCCCGTTTTCCACGCATCCCATCAGCAAGGAGTTCCACGAGACGGCATTGGGACGATTGATCCTGTCGAAGACCGCACCAGCTTCGCTCAGGCAGCCACACTTGGCGTACATGTCCACCAGCGAGCTCGCTACGTAGACATCCTTCTCAAATCCCATCTCCGCGGCATGGGAATGAATCGCCACTCCTTTCATTCCTGCGAGCTTTCGTTTGGATCCATGATCCTTCACTGCCAAACGACCACAGGCCATGAGCACAGCGACAAAAGTTCTCGAGTTTGGAAAGCAGCAACTCACAACTTGCATGTGTTCGAAGAGCTCCAGAGCTAACTCCGGATCGTTGTTTTGCACGTATCCTCCAATCAATCCAGTCCAGGACACCACATCGTGTAGCGGCATTCTATCAAACACCCTCCGCAGATCCATCACGCTGCCACACTTCGCGTACATCTCAATCAGCGAGCTTGCCAAGAACAAATCAAATGAGAACGCACGACACTTCGCTACTTTAGAATGAATAGCCATACCTTTCTCCAGAGAGACAACCTTGACGATCATCCCATGGAAATCCTTCGAGCATCCCTCTCGCTCTGCCAAACTCGAGCACGCCACCACCGCCGAGAGAAACGCCCGCCCATCCGGCCGGCAATCCATCCTCTCAAACAGCTCCAGAGCCAGCTCCGGCAAGCCATTCGTGCCGTACCCCAGGATCAACGCCGTCCAGGGCACCGCATTCTTGAAAGGAATGGCATCAAAGACCTTGCGGGCATCCGGCATGCTCCCGGATCTGGCGTACATGGCAATGAGACTGCTGGCGACCCTGATGCTGGCGAGACTTCCAGATTTCGCTGCCTGATCGTGCAATCGCTTGCCGCGATCGATATCGCGGCATTCCCGGAGCGCCCCAAGCAATGCCACCATAGTATTCCTGCTCACCGCCATAACTCTGCTCATAAACCCTAAATCCTTATTTCCTATGGAGAAGAATAAAGGAGGAGGATAAATTTTAACCATAGGAGTGTAATGATAATAATAGTATTAAACAGAATGTATGGTCCATTTGACAGAGTCCGTTTAATCCTCGGCCGAGCCCTAAAGCGAGGGAAGAAGTAGCGGCCATTAGGGTTTGAGTTTGGGGAAAGAATCCCAGTTTAGGGGTTTAGGTCGGAGCACTCCAGCTCGTTCGCCGTCGGCCGGCGCCGCGTCTGTCATCGAATCGAGGTAAGCAGCGCCATCGTCTAGCAATGTCGCGGCGATCGACCGTATTTTCGTGTTTTCCCTCCACAGGAATGGCGCTGGAGGTCACGCCGATTCTTCTCAATGCGCAGTCCGCCGATAAGGATGTGCGCAAGTTCGCCGAGGACAATCTCAAGCAGTTTGAGGAGCAAAATCTGCCGCTGTTCCTCGTCTCCCTCTCGATCGAGCTCGCCAACAGCGCCAAGCCGGCAGAGAGCCGCCGGCTAGCGGGCCTGATCCTCAAGAACTCGCTCGATGCCAAGGATGCGCAGAGAAAGCACGAGCTGGCCCAAAAGTGGCTGGCTCTCGACGCCGCCGCCAAGGCACAGATCAAGGCGAGCCTGATGGAATCGCTCGCGGCGCCAGTGCTGGATGCGAGCCACACCGCTGCCCAGGTGATTGCCAAGGTGGCTGCGATCGAGATCCCTCAGCAGCAGTGGCCGGAGCTGATTGGATTGCTGCTCAGCAACATGCGAAGTGGGTCTGCCGAGCTCAAGAAGGTGACGCTAGAGGCGCTGGGATACGTGTGTGAGGAGGTCTCGGCAAACGTTCTTGCTCAAGAACAAGTGAATTCCATCCTCACGGCCGTCGTCCAGGGGATGAACAACAACGAGCCCAACACCGAGGTCCGTCTCTCGGCCACCCGGGCTCTATGCAACGCGCTCGACTTCGCCCAGACCAACTTTGAGAACGACGTGGAGAGGGACTATATCATGAGGATGGTGTTCGAGGCGGCCGTGTCCCCGGACGAGAGAGTGAGGCAGGCAGCGTTCGAGTGCCTGGTTTCCATCGCGTCGACGTACTACGAGAAGCTCCAGCCTTACATGCAGAACATCTTCACGGTGACTTCCAAGGCTGTCAAGGAGGACAAGGAGCCAGTAGCATTGCAAGCGATCGAGTTTTGGAGCGCGATATGTGACGAGGAGATTGAGATACAGGAGGAGATTACCTCGGGATATAGCGGAGACTCGGAGGTCCCTTACTTCCAGTTTATCAAGAAGGCTCTTACGTACCTGGTGCCGCTGCTGCTGGAAACGATGACCAAGCAAGAGGAGGACCAGGACGTGGACGAGGACGTTTGGAATCTATCCATGGCTGGAGGGACTTGCCTGGGTCTGGTAGCCAGGACGGTGGAAGACGACATCGTCCCGCTGGTGATGCCTTTTATCCAGGACAACATTGTCAAACCCGACTGGAGGTGTAGAGAAGCTGCTACTTATGCCTTTGGCTCCATTCTCGAGGGTCCTTCCCTGGAAAAGCTTGCCCCACTGGTGAATGCGGCCCTCGGGTTCCTGCTCAACGCTCTGAAGGACGAGAACAGCAGCGTCAAGGACACTACGGCCTGGACTCTCGGACGCATTTTTGAGTTTCTCCACGGGCCGGGCGTGGATAAGTCGGTCATCACTACGGAGTCTCTGCCTCACATACTCTCCTGCCTTTTGGAGAGCCTCAAGGATACTCCGAACGTTGCAGAGAGAACTTGTGGCGCGCTCTACTTCTTGGCACAAGGCTACGAAGAAATGCGGGGCCAACCCTCACCACTGTCTCCATTCTACCAGCAGATTGTAGAGGGTCTCATCCACACAGCCGACAGGGAAGATGCCAGTGACTCCCGTCTCCGGTTCTCAGCTTACGAAACTCTCAACGAGGTGGTGAGGTGCTCCACAGAAGAAACTGCCACCATCGTAATGCAGCTGATGCCGATCATCATGCAAAAACTCGACAGCACGTTTCAGATGCAAGTGGTGTCGTCGGATGATCGGGAAAAGCAAGGCGAGGTTCAAGCACTCCTCTGCGGAGTCCTGCAAGTCATCATCCAGAAGCTGAGCGCAGCGGAGTCGACGAAAGTCACGGTGATTCAGTTTGCCGACCAGATTATGGGCCTGTTTTTGAAGGTGTTCGCGTGCCGCAGTGCCACAGTCCACGAAGAAGCTATGCTGGCAATCGGGGCCGTTGCTTATGCTACCGGAAGCCAGTTCGAGAAGTACATGTCCGAGTTCTATCGATACTTGGAGATGGGATTACAGAACTATGAGGAGTATCAAGTGTGTGCTATCACTGTTGGAGTGGTTGGAGATATCTGCCGAGCTTTGGAAGAGAAGGTTCTACCATACTGCGACGGGATCATGACACAGCTCCTGAAAGATCTCTCCAGCAACCAGCTCCACCGCTCCGTGAAGCCGCCAATCTTCTCGTGCTTTGGTGACATTGCTCTCGCGATTGGAGAGCACTTCGAGAAGTACCTCATGTATGCGTTGCCGATGCTCCAAGGCGCTGCGGAAGTCACTGCTCAGCAGGCTCTTCAAGACCCCGAGATGATCGATTACAACAACCAGTTGCGTACAGGAATTTTGGAGGCCTACTCTGGGATTCTACAGGGCTTCAAGGCGACAAAGCCCGATCTGATGCTGCAGTCTGGAACGCACGTCTTGCAGTTCATCGAGACGATTTATCGGGACGAGGACAGGTAACTTTGCTTTCTCTTTTCGTCTTTGAAACTCATGCTTGTTTTTGTTGTGTCACAGAGACGAGGTGGTGAGCAAAGCTGCTGTTGGTGTTCTGGGTGACTTAGCCGATACACTGGGCACTCCAGCAGCGGGGATGTTTCGCCAAATCACATTCTACAAGGATTTCCTGGACATGGTACAAATGATGGACGATGCGCCACTAAAGGAGACTGCAGCCTGGGCTATGGCGACCATCAACAGGATCCTCTCGACATAAGAAATCCATCCACGGTTTTGAGATCAGCACAGCGGTCACACACAGGTTCCGTTTTAGTTGGTTTTTTTTTTCTTTCGTCCTTTTTTCTTCTGGACTTTCGTGCATTTGCTCTGTTTTGCCTAGTGGAAGGCAAGGCAGGGGGGAGATATTGCTCGGCCTTCTCGGGGAAGAAAGGCCCTGCAAGAGAAAAAAGAAGAATTTGAGAGCTGCGTTCGCTGGAGCGGAGGCCGCTTGCCAGATCCTAGTTTGGTTGCTGCGAATTTGAGCAGTAGCGATTTTCTAGAGAAGAAGAAACGAGTGAGCGTCTTCCTCGTTTTCTTTGTGTACATGGTAGGCGTTTCGCCTCGCCAGAAAGAAAAGAGTCTTTCCCTCCGCCATGAAAGTTTGGCGGGGGAGTTTCATATTTTAAATTTTGGTTTTCCCGCCCAGCCCTAGGCTGGCTTGGTTAGGTTTAATGGCGTGGGGTCAAGTCACTGCTACCGTCTATGGGCTCATCCGGGATTCCAAGCACGCCGATGCGATCAAGTGAGTGGCGCCTGGAGATTTCGTGGATTTTGTGATCACGAGCTTCGATTTGATGCAGATTTCTTGAGGAGCAGCTGTGGCTGTTCCCGGAGAATCAAGCCGCGCTGTCGCTGCTGGGGTATTGTCACTATGTTCTTGGGGATTTCCACGCTGCGTCCTCAATGTAGGCGTTGCTGCGTCCGCATTGCGTGATTCTTGGCTCTGATCGTGTGCATTTTGTCATGCAGGTACCAGAAGCTGACGAAAATTTGCCCCAACCAAGAGAACTATCGCTTGTATCACGCTCAATCGCTCTACAAGGTATTTAAAGTTTTTATTTCTTTTTCTAGCGAGAAAAGCGTAATTTTTCTTCTAGGCCGGGATGCTTTGTGAAGCTGGAAAAGTGTGCCTCTCGCTGGAAGGAATGCAGCGTAGAGTTTTGGGATTGCAGGCTTGCATTCGATACGAGGAGGGAGATATTGCTGGTACTTCTTTCTTTATTTTTTTTTATCCCCCTGCATCCTTTTACTTTTCAGGTAGTCGAATGATACTGGAGGAACAATCTCGCGATGATATGGACGCTGCTGTTAATCTCGGATGCTGCCTTTACAAGGTATACTTTGAGGCATTCAAGGCATACTTTGTAACATTCTCTTGACTTCAGGAAGGAAGCTATCAAGAAGCGTATTCCAAGTTTACTGATGCAATAAACGCATTTGGTTTTCAGGCAAGCACCTTTCCTAAGTTCTCTCTGATAACTTAGTGAGAGATTTCAGCCCGAGCTGGCCTACAACAGAGCTGTTTGTCTCTACCGTCTAAAGCATTACGGTCCAGGTAATGTTATTCTTCGACAATCAATGAACGAATTTTCTTTACGTTAGTTTGCAGCTCTTAGTGTTCTTGCAGAAATTATTGAACATGGAGTGCGACAATATCCCGAACTCAGCATTGGTAGGTATGCTCTTTGTCACCACATTAGTTGCTTTTGCATATATTCTAGACTATACATTTTCTGTTTGTAAAGCCACGTAGAGGGCATTGAGCTATGTAGCGTTGGAAACAGCCCAGCGCTCAAAGAATCTGCATTAGTCGAAGCTTTCAACTTGAAGGTCCGATCAAAATTCTTTTTGACTCACTTGATTCGGTTCTTTGTTTAGGCTGCCATTGACTACGCTAATGGAAATTTGGAGGCCGCAAAGGAAAACCTCACTGACATGCCACCACGTGCAGAAGAAGAGTTAGACTCGGTACATTCTGATACTTTCGCTAAGTTGTTTATTTTTGTTTTTTCTTTCCTCAGGTCACGCTTCACAATCAAGCCCTGATGAATATGGAAGTTGATCCTACTGCAGGCTTCCGTAAACTTAATTTTTTGTTGCAGGTAGATATTTTTATTCTTTTATGATTATTCTGACCACTCGCTATAGAATCCTCCATTTCCTTCAGAGACATTGGCTAATCTACTTCTGCTGTATTGTAAACCTTCCCATGGATTCTACGACCTTGCTGCTGATGTAATGGCAGAGCATGCGGAAGTTATCTTCAAGTATCTATCTCAGGTACGCTTGAAGCACATAAACTTCACAAGCATTAGTCTTTTTACATCTAATATTATGCAGGACCTCTACGACTTTATTAACTGCATCATTTTGACAAAGACGTCACCGGAGGTTGTTCAATTATTGTTAGTTGTGATGTTGTTGAGCTAAGCTTGACTATTGGACAGGATGCATATCAAAAGATGAATGAGCTGGCAAATCGTTATAGTGAAACCATGCGCAGGCTCACCAAACAAATCCAGGATTCTTGTCTTTCTCGCGATCAGGAGGGCCACAAGAAGGCTTTGGCAGAGTATGAAGACTGTCTTGAGGTAAGATGTTCGTAATGTTTTGTCTTTTGCTTTTCGAGCATCGGCTCTTCTATAGTATTATATACCTATCATCATGGCAATTGCAAAGCTTTTCTGGGACAAAGAAAATTACGTGCAAGTAGAGCGTATTTTCCACCAGTCAGCAGACTTGTGTTCGGATCATCCTGTTTGGCGACTGAATGTCGCTCACACTTTCTTTATGCAGGTGAGCTAATCGTATTTGCTATCTATGCTTATTGTGCATCTAACAGGATAATCGCTACAAAGAAGCAATCCATTACTATGAACCAATTGTAAAGAAAGCGGGAGATGACATTCTCAGTGTCACAGCAATTGTGCTCGCGAATCTCTGCGTTTCATACATTATGACCAGCCAGGTACTTTAAACAAATAGTACGACGAAATTGTAATATATTGGTCTTTAGCAGAATGAAGAGGCCGAAGATTTGATGCGAAAGATTGAAAAAGAGGAAGAGAGAGCGCACTACGAGGTTTGCCATTTATATATAACTTAAGGGGCTACTAGTGGTTTTAATTCTGTGTTCCTTTTCTAGAATCCAGACAAGCAGGAATTGCATTTATGCATTGTAAACCTTGTGATCGGTACCCTCTACTGCGCAAAACAAAACTTCGAGTTCGGTATTAGCCGTATCATCAGAAGTCTGGAGCCTTATGGGAAAAAGCTGGAAGCAGACACGTGGTTTTATGCAAAGCGTTGCTTTCTTGCATTGGTTGATAGCCTTGCGAAACAGATGATCGTGGTAAGCAACAAAAGACGAGGCACGGATTCATGAAATCTAATCTCAAGCTTGCGTGATGCAGTTGAAGGATGCGACATACGCCGACATAGACGACTTTCTTGATGCTGCGGACAGCCAAGGCAAGACTGTCTACACATCCGTGGAGAGTCCCGGCGAGGGCCAGAACTCCAACACGGTCTCCAGAGAAGCCAGGCTGCTCAAGAGGATGTTTCTGAAGATTAGAGAATGAGGTATGTCCGTCCATTCAGCTTGCTAGTTTCTAAGATAACTTCATTACAGGTAGGCATGGCTTGCAAGCCTTGGTGTTGCAAAAACTTCAAGTGGAACCTTTCGTCTAACCGCCACTCCTTCCGAGATCTCGTCCATGCTCAGCTCCTTGCCACTGACCTTCCACTCGAACCCATGGACGAGACGAGCAAGTGTACGAAACCATGGGGCTACGCCAAGAGACAATCCGGAACAGATCCTTCGACCAGATCCAAAAGGCAGCAGCTCAAAGTTCTTGAGGTTGACGATCTCACTAGCCAAAGATGGTTGCCACTGCTTGTGAGGTAGGGTTCGCGGAGAGATTCTTCGTTCGCGGCGGCAGCTCTCCTCTGGCGACAATGTCGCTGCCGCTGAAGCGCCGCGCGGAGGCGCTTGAGGATGATTTAGGCCCTACGCCTCTCCGTGATGCTCTTGCGGGTTTGTATTCTGGGCGAGACCCAAGCTTCCTGTGGGATCCATCTGGAGTATCCGCCCTACGACGAATTTCGACACGAACCTTAGAGCCCAATACAAGTACGTAGGGAGGGAGGGTGCAGAGAGGCTGTATGGTGCGATGACGAGCATGAGAGCTAGGCAACATATGCAGGTTTTAGGTGCCAAAGGTACTGGGAAGAGCACAGTGATATCCACCATCTCTGGCTACCTCATTGGCTCTCAGATGATGAGTGTAGTTTATATCTCCGTGCTGCGCTACATTGCGGAACCTGTTTTGGTCCTCAGGGAAGCCTTGATCGTGGCATCACTCTCCTCAATGACTTCGATCGATGAACTTAAGTCGTGGTGTCGCCAGCAGAAACGGGGGGCCTTGTTGTTCGTAGTGGACGACTGGGATCAGTTCGAGGTAAAGAACGTCTCTTCTGCGGACTTGGCCTCTGCGGCTTTCACCCACAAGCTCCTAAATGTGTCATCGGTTAATAGCAGGGAAAGGCAGATATGGTCGGAAAGTGACAAGGCTGACGATCACATACAGACTGAATTCTTCGATGGTCCATACACCAGCCGCGAGATGGAAACGTGGATGGCACAGTCGAGACTAACGGTAGAAGAGCTGCAGCATGCAGATCGTTTAACCGGGGGCATTCCACTTCTTCTCGAGTTTTATGAGGAATCTAAGGGGAATGAGGGAGTCTTTGGAGGAAAGATCAGAGGCACGTATACGTCTAAGCTGTCCAAGAGATTTATTGGCTTGCTCAAGACGCAGAAGCAGCTTCGTGCCGCCCTGGAACTGGTCATCTGGGGAGAACTCAGTCACGAGCTGGGAACGCGGTCAGGCGGAGCTGTACATTATGGACCAACATGAGAACCTGCAAAGCTCGTTGCTGTTGAGTGACATTGAGACTTGGGCTCAGGCTATAACTGTCGACTGCCAGGAGCCTGATGAAGACGAGGTGAAGCGAAATCCTGCCCGAATCGGATGGAACGTCGAAGCCTTGGTGATAGCTGTGATGAGGTATCAGAAGAGTGTCTTGGATATGTATTCAAGCAGTTCAGGACATACGCACACGGCTCAGAGACAACTGCTCTTAACAAGCTGGGAACCAAGGAGCTTACACAAGGCGTTCTATTGGGTCCACTGGCTTTCAACGAGCAAGCTGTGGACGTGATCTACGTCATACTGGTTGGAAAGGAGCTTCGGTTTGTAGCAATGCAGATCACCGTCGCTCAGTGGAAGGCAAAGGCCAAGAAGGAGTCCCATAAAGTCTGGAAGGGAGTAGATCTGCCGAAATGGAAGGCTGGAACCAAAAAGCGGTGGACGGTAAAGGAAGAGTTCTACTATATCATGCCCCAGTCCGTCCAGCTGACTGATGTGCCCCATTCAGATCCGCGTTTCAGAAAACTCGGTGATGTGCACGATTGCCTTGCAGTCTTCGACGATCTCCTCTTGGAAGAGCCGGCAACAGTGGTGAAGGGTGAACTCAAGACTTGTTGTGGAACAAAATTGAAAGGGGATCGCTGCAAAAACAAAGCTCTGGTTCCAGATGAAGCATATTATTGTCCTCACCATGCCAACCAGAGAAACCAAGCTATCAAGTAAAATCTTGGAACTTGGTCGTAGACTTCAAGGCCAACTTGCCTGGTCATTCATGTTTTTGTTTTGACACCATCACGGGAGCTAGTGAGGATCTACTGCAAGGCATCATTCTAGCCTGCCTAGGGAACACCATTATGTACAAGATCTAGGAGAATATTATCCTTCTATACTTTTAAATTTCAAACTATTTAGTAATAATTTTTCAATTGTAACAATTGTAACAATTGTAAAGTGAATTATTTAATAATTTTAAATTTTGGATTAACTTAATAGGATCACCAGTTTAGAAATATTCATCATCAATAAAGTGTATGTATATAACGATCACACAAGGATCTAGTGTGAGGCATTAGCGAGATCATTCTAGCACTATGGGATCACAAAGTGATGCTTCGGTGGCTCAACAGGCATCCCAGCACAAAGGCCCTAGACACAGCAATGCATACAGCTAATGCTGCTACTGCACAGGGGACACTTGCCTATAGCTCTTTATATATTGTGGATTTTGATAAACAGTACCGAGAACTCTTTGTCATCTATGGTCAAGAAAAAAATTTGGAACCAGACACTGTTGTGAGATGGGGTTTTCTCAGCATTCCGTCCTGGTGTGAAGAGAAAAAGGCATGTGTTAAGGACCTCCTAGAACAATAATTAATGTAAGTTAATTAATCATTTACTGCTCTTAAACTTTTCTTTAATTCATTTGTAATCAAAGGTACTAATACAATCTGTGTTTAAGTTTTTAGCTAAGGGAAAATGGCATTTGGCTTCATGATTGCTCTCTCTACATAGGCACAAAATCTAAATTGAGCCAGCCAGATGTAAGTTCTTACTGATCACAATCACACTAAGGTCAATAAGTTCTATACATTTTCCAAGTTTGTCACTATATATTCATTCGAGAACTCATGTGTGGCAATATATTCCAAAAGGACCTTCCCCATCACTCTAGTAATTAACCATTCCAAGAATCATCTTTGGCTACAAGAATCTAGAGTAGTGGAGCTTAATCCCTCTATATTGAAATTGCCTTGTCATAGAACAATTGAAGCTCACAATACACTCTTGGGTGAAAAATCCTAAGAATTTCTTCTATACTTGCTTATAGTGCACATCACAACATCAAAGCTCTTGGTTTGGAGGCCCAAGAATGAATTACAGTTGAGATCCTTGAAGCAATCATCAGATGATGACTCTCTTATAGAAGAATTTCAATGAGAGATGACTCACCCATAAGTGGGAGCCTATTATGTTAAGCATGGGAAATATATTTTAATTATCTCCCATCTTTGTGTTGTCTGTAATGTAGGTCACCCTTTCAGAAGCTTTGTAGTTAAAACTTATGTACAACATATATCAAAATATTGGACAATGAAGCTAGTTAGTCTAGAATATTATCCTTCTAAAATATATGGTATATACATATTCTATACATAGAGACCTCATATTACTCCCCCCTTAACTATCATCAGGTTGAATCCAAGAAATATGTGCTACATATTGTGAATCCCATTGTTAATTCTTAAACATATCACAAAGCCTTTGGATTCACAATTTAATTGTTTGAGTTTCACAAACTACAGAAGTTAAATTAGCTACATGACACTGATCCCCAAGATTAAGAAACTTTATTAACACTAGATATTGTATTGAAGTTATGCCATACATCATAAAAATGCCTTCAGTACTTTTCTGCTCTTGCAAAAGATTTTAAACATTATGCATATAATATTAGTAGAATACAATCCAAATACTCCAACTATGCTCTCGCTCTCCACTCGAGATAGCATGGAGTGATTGGCATCAAACCCATACTAGAACATAAATAGGCTCCCACCTAAATAACATATCAAATGGAAATATGCTAATAGATTTGTATGGAACTGATATATAAGTAAATTGTAGATATGGCAACCATCTATTGTGGATCTATATACTTCAATCATTCCTTTGAACATTTTATTAAAGTGCTCTACCAAGCCGTTTATCTCATGATGATGAGTTGATGGAAAAGATTGCTTGATATTGAGCTATTGCATCAATAACTTCAACACTTAATGAAGAACAAATATTATATACAAAAACTAAGTATATAAAGAAAAAATCATATGTATATGAGTTTCTTTTATTTTAAAGGTTTATCAGTATAGAAAACTTAGTTTGGTATATTATAAATAACTTGGTATGATAAAAGCTCAATTAAAAAACTTATATACTTCTTAATCATGATAATTATGGTGAGGAGTATACCTCTTAATGACAATATGGACAGAAGTTATGCTCTAAACCTTTAGAAGATCTAATTAATTATAACTTTTACTAGAAGAACTATAAATTATCTAAAATTTTAATATTATTGTGAATATATATATATATATATATATATATATATATATATATATATATATATATATATTAATAGTGTGAGTGCATGGAATATGGAAAAGGAATACAGAAATGTGCATATCAATTAGCCCAAAAACCCTAGTTTATATATAGGAGCAAATGGTCCGAATTGAAACTAATCCAACAGCTACCAAAATCCCACTACGCTAATATTAGTATACGGCATCGTAGCCGTACACTTAACCCTCACATCATCCCCTCCTCTCGGAATAATGGAAGGCTATTAGGGTTCTTTTGTAGACGGGCCGGGATCTAGAGGAACGTCAAGATGAGGCATCGGTGGGTTTGTAGATGGTATTAACTGTTCCTGATCCCTTTGTATGAAGTGTTTTAACCATTGCACATGCATAATCTCTGGAGGATCGGCCTATTGGACGTCATGCCAAACCTCATAAACTTGTGGTCCAACTTGTTGCAACACCTGATACAGTCCTTTCCACTGTGTAAGGAGCCCCTTAGATAAACCACGTATCGTAAGATGGGGAAAATGGACTAACACCAAATCATCCATTTTGTACTCTGTAGGTGGACGATGATGGGAGTTGTAGCGCCGTTGTTGTCCCACTTGTATGCGGCTTAAGTGTTCGGTAAACTCTACTCAGACAAGTGGAAGAATGCTCGTCAAATATTGATCTCACGACCTAGCATCAGGAGCTCATGGCAATCGCAAAGGTAAACCCAGCTCCGTTGGTAATATTGGATCATGACCATATAGAAGTTTATATGGTGAAGCACCAATAGAACTTTGCACCCCTGTGACATAGGCATACCGAAGAGATGGCAAATAACCATCCTAATCCGAATGCTGAAAGTTCACATACTTCACAATCATCCCTTTGAATGTCCGAACAAGTTGTTCCACAAGACCGTCTAATTGTGGATGATAAGCACTCGTGAAAGTGTGGCATATCCTCAACCGAGATGTCAAAATATGAAATGCCTCACCCATAAATGCAGAACCATTATCCGAAAGAATCCGCTCTAGACAAGAATGCTGGAACACCACTCAATTGAGGAGGAAGTATCCAACAACAGTTGCAAAGGTGCTAGCAAGAGCACCAACTTCCACCTAACGAGTCAAGTAGTCAGAAGCAATAATAAGATACTCATTGTCAACAGTCGATCATGGAAAAGGTCCCATAAAATCAAATGCCACCAACCCAAACAGACGGGAAACTGCAATTGACTCCAACCGTCCTTCTGCAGCACAATGGGGAGTATTACGAGCTTGGCACCAAACGCAGCTACGCACATACCAGATAATATCACGTTGCATCTCCGGCCAATAGAAAAACCTGCACAGCTTCTCAGTCA